AGGTTGGATAGTTAAGCCCTCAGGCAAAACACGAATATCCCAAGTACCTTTTCAGACAAACAATTAGACTAGGTTACAGAATAACTGAATAAAGAAAGAAAACAAATAAAGCAATTAGGCAGCAATTCAGGATACTTGATATCATCTGCATTGAGCCAAGATATATGAAAACCTAAAAATTTCGGTATTCTGTAAAGATATCTGTGTAGAATTGTTACTTTCAATTAAAAGGAAATTAAATATTGAGTCAACTGTAAATTTTTGGTGAATCGACCTTGGCACGAGCAGCCTCCTCCCTTAATCTTCTCTCTTCCTGAAGTTTCCTATAAATCTGATGTTCTTCCTCAGCCCAGTAAAGCTCCTCAGAAATGACTTTTGGAACAATGGCATGGAAATCAAGATGTTTGTTGTTATCATAAATATTTGCCTTTTTTGGTGGTCCATCAGCAAGAACCCAATCCAGAACAATGGCTCGGTCAGGTACTATTACTGCAAAAATGTAGAGTGGTGCATATGCGATGAAACTCAATGCTAACTATAAAAATGACATTTAACATCAGCCTTCAAATAAAGAGGTCAGAGTACTCGATTAAAATTTTCCCACTTAAACCAAAGGAACCTATAAATTTAAGCCTCATTTAATCCCCCACATACATTTTTCTAGAGCCATTAGAAAATATGTTAGTCTGAAAACCAAAAATGGTAACATTCTCCCCCCATCCAATAATGATTAACAACCTTGACCACAAGCAGACAAATCATTATGGTTGCTAAATATCACATTATGTATAATTTGGGGATAACTACCGTCAAAATCTTTCAAAAATTTCTATTACGAAGGATCTTTATTTTGTGGAGGGAAAGAACTTGTGAAATATTATGGCGGTGCCACACAGAACACCTGATGTTTTTCTCTATATTTTTTCTATTGGACAGGGTTTTTCTTATTCTTGAAAGTTTAATCAGCCAAACATCAGTTATTTGCTGTCGGAAGGCCTTGCATGTAAAACAATCCAAGCAACAAGATGGATGGTAATAAGAGCTCTACATTTTTCAGGCCTAGCATTTTTGCTCAGTCATCAGAAGCAATTGTCTTCAAAGGGTTATTTAAGAGAAAAAGTCCTCTAGGCTCTAAGCATATGTACAATTTTCTGGACAATTTTCACTACTTTGTAAATACACGAGTTACTCAGATCTACATGCTGCCACAATATAAAAGGAATATAAGACACATTTACACGTACCATCAGCATACCACCATTCACAATCGTCTTTTATCTCAGCAAAGACAAGCCTTTCAATAATGGATAATCCATCTGTCCAATTATTACGCCCACCATGAATCCAAAGCTCTTTTGCATGAGCCAGAGGACCTGATTTTTTATTATAGTATAACCTGACTGAATCTCCACCTTTAAACTCAGCAGGTTTAATGAACCAAACATTATCAACAGATTTCACTGCCATTTTTGAAAGCTGTTTTACCATCTCTCTTATTTTTTCAGTCTCTGCCTTCGCCTGGGCTCTGTCAGCTTCACTAGCAACCTTCTCAGCTTCTATTCGCCTCGTCTCTTCTTCTTGTCTTTCCCTTTCAGCCCTCTCTTTTGCAACTCTTTCCAGTTCTTTACGTTTCTCCTCCAATAATAAATCTTCAAACGTAGAGGCATCCATTCCACCTTCCACAAATATGCAGAAATCCTTTCCATTATTATTTTCATAGACATCTTTACCATTAAAGAAGACGAAGTCTATCTTGTAAGCCTCTTTGGGAACATGAATCTGACAAGACCACCAATCCCCATCTAGATTTGCTTTGTTTAGCCTCATAGTGAAAGATTTCCAATTCCAGTCATTAAATGCTCCCATGACCAAAACATCTGGCTCTCTATTCAGAATGGAAAGACTCCTATTAAAGAACAATTCTATATTTTGATCAGGTTTAACAACTGGAGGAAAAACGAACACTTGATTTCCACCGAAAAAGTTTTCCTTAGCCAGTCTCTCAATTTCCTGTCTCTTTGCTTTTGCTTCCATCTCCAATTTATGCTTTAAAGATTCTTCCTCAGCTAAATTTACTTCTGTCTCGAGGGGTTCATCGTCCGCAGAGTTATCTAGGACATCTGAAAATGTTTCACCTGGTTCATTCTCCTCTCCTTTCTCCAGTGATCTTTTTTCTATCCCACTTAACCTACCTGCCATTCCATTGTCTATTGCTGCAGTATTTTCACCAACAGAAGTAGATTTACTTGTCAAAGATCCTTTAACTTCTGCATCGTTATTTTTAGCTGCTAAGTCCTCCTCATCCCCTACCTTCAATTTAAGTGCTTTCTGATTGGGCTCTGTGGGTGTACTAGATTTTAGCGTTGCAGAGCCTTGTTTCTCTTCATCTCGACTCTGATCTCTTTTAGGGCTGCTTTCTCCAACAGGAACTTTGGGTTTGAATCCCTTTGGTGCAGAGCTTTCAAGTCTCGCTGTTGACATTTTCCTAGATCTTCTCCTTGAAGAATCTACATGGGTTCAGATTCAGTTTAACCATAAAAAACTACGCATAGGAAATTAAACTACGAAATATAAACGTGAAAACCAACTGAAAAAACCTGAATGACGGGCACAGGCAACAATTCTGAACGACCTCCCGGCTACCAGATGCCCTCGGAACCATAAGGGAGACTGAACCCATAAAGGTAAAGCAATAAACGCAGGTTCAGGTACATCAATCTCAATTCCAAATCTCAGAAATATAAAAAGTAATACATCTTTCAGAACTCTTCCCATGAGATATTGAAATTCATCAGTTCCACAGTACATTTCGACGTATATTTCAACAAAGATTACATAAAGACGACACATATCCTCCAAATTGATAGATAACGGATAGATGAATGAAAAGGAGTTCACTCAAGAAAGAAACAAACCAGCGACAAATAAAAACTCGGCAATGAATATCATTCGAACCAAAGATCATAACAACCAAAGAAATAGAAAATCAAAACACGCAGAACAGTGGCGCCAACAACGAAAATCGAAAATACCAGTGAAGTAGAAATAGTAGACGATGCTCTATTTCCATGAATGAGTCTGAACTTCAAACTCCCCGTTTGTGCCTCACTCAAATTCGTGCTCCTCCAACTCCCCGACACTTGTGCTTGAAGTGCCACCTCCATAAGGAACTAAACGACGACAGTACGAAAACTCCGGTTTCTACTCTTCTTCTTCTTCTTCTCCGTTCAACTCAAAACCAGAATTATTCCTCCAAACAAGCTTCAGATCGCACTCCCGAACAATCTCCCTCTAGAATTGCGCTATTGAACAATAATTAAAGAGAGATTAAAACAAACAAACTAGATCCCAATACGTAGAAAAGGACGAAAGCTTCAATTAGCACACACCATGCAATGCTCCGCCGATAAACAGCCAAAAGAAGAAATGGCTACGCTCACAGCCATCCGAAGCAGCTAGCAAGCACGAGATTATGGTCCAGTAAAAGCCTGTGATTTTCCGTTGAAAGAGAGGGAATTAATCAACGGTGCGAAATGGTTCTTGAGTTAATTGGTTGTGTGATGGGTCACCAATGGGAAGGCGCAATCAGAAATTGCCACGTCAACGTACCTCTCAAAACATACTTAATCATTAATCACTGATTAAGACTGACACGCATGCATAATCCCTCATGTGATGATCTTACCTAATCAGTTGAGATTTAATTTCCACCCTACGTTCCTTTTTCTTCACCATTCATCCTTATTTCAATGCTAATGGTAAATAATATATAGGTTAAATAATGATTTTATTCTCTTAATTATGTCTAATATATCCACTTTTTTAACCTATTTTTAAAAATTTTAAAATCATTTTAATTGGTTGTTGAATTTTTAATTTTATGTTTACTCCAACCCTAAAAACACATTTTAGTCTGGTTTAAGGAACATTATCTCCACTAATATGAAACCTTTTAAAAGTAAATTCACGAGAGCTTAGAAATCTTTAAAAGTAAAGTCACCGCCCAAAACAAGTAACATTATATCAAGGTCCGTAATTTCTAAAATAATTAATTAATATGAATGGTATGTAATATGATTAGTGTAACGGCCCAGATTCACCACTATGCAGATATTATATTGTCCTATTTGGACTTTCCCTCAAAGTTTTATAAAGGTTATGCTAGGGGAAGGTTTCCACACCCTTTTATAAACGGTGTTCTGTTCTCCTCCCCAACCAATGTGAGACACTATCACAATCCACCCCCTTCAGGCCCAGTGTCCTCGCTAGCACTGGTTCCTTTTCTCCAATTGATGTGAGACCACCCCCAAATCCAACTTCCTTCAGGGCTCAGCGTCTTTACTGGCACACCGCCTCATGTCTACTTCCTTCGGGGAACAGCGAGAAGGCTGACACATCGTCTAGTGTTTGACTTTGATACCATTGTAACGGCCCAGATTCACCTCTAGCAAATATTGTCCTCTTTAGGCTTTTCCTTTCGGACTTCCCCTCAAGATTTTAAAATACTTCTAGGAAGGTTTCCACACCCTTACAAAATGTGTTTTGTTCTCCTTTCTAATGACTATTCCAATAGTCAGTTTAAGACTTATTAGACATATGTTAAAATTTAAGGATCAAAGATATATAAAAATAAAGTTTACAAACCAATTAGACATTTAAAAAATATATAGAACGTAGAAGTGAGAGTTCATGGACTAAGCTGGTTTTTTTTTATACTTGTAAATATAGTTTCTTCCACTGAAAAATATCTAGACCCCACAGGTCTAGGTGTTTATTATCGCACATCAACCAGCTTGATTAGCATTAAACGTCTATTAACCCATCAATGTCTATGAATAAAGGCGTATATCAATGAGCAGTGATATACAAAAGTGAAAGAGAAACATATGAAAATGTATATATTAACCAATCCAAATGGAGGCATCTAAAATGAATTCGATAAAATTAAAGCTCGAACATAGTTCGATTAGTTAAAATATATGTTCGAGCGAAGGAATTAAGATAGAATATAAGCAGCAGAGACTGGAATTGCTTTAAAAAGTTGACAGTTCCAAGGGAATATAAAGTTCGCACGAATATGAAAGGCTTACAGATCGCATTATATTTGATAAAATTGCAGAATTGAATGATATGAGTGGATATAGAAACATGGGTTGAAGTATAGAAGGGAAGGGAAGGAAGAGATCATGTCAAGGCATTAGCACCAGCAACAATCTCCAATATTTCTCCAGTGATCTTAGCTTGGCGCTGTCTGTTGTACACAGTCGACAGAGTCCTCTTCAGCTCAGAAGCATTGTCACTTGCACTGCTCATGGCGCTCATTCTAGCCGCGAGCTCACTGGCCAGCGACTCCTGCAGTGACCTCAAAATCTGGCTGTTTAAATACAGAGGCAATAAAGCATCCAAGATCTGAACTGGGTCTTGCTCAAACTCCAAAATTGGGGAGAAATCTGAGGTGCTTGTCCGCACCGTATCCCTCTCCACTGTCAGCTTCCCTTCCTTTGTTGTCAACCTGAAAAATTCATCTTCGGCGGCGTCGACACAGACACCGTTTATGTCACAGATCTCGCCCTTGGGCGAGAGCGGAAGAAGGGTGTGAATAACAGGGTCGGATTTGACCAATGACACGAATTTGGTGTACAAAAGCTCTACTTTGTCAACCTCCTCACTGATGAAGAGTGAGAAGACATCATCAGCAATGGCTTGAGCTTCTTTGGCTGTCGGAAGCGTGCCGCCTTCGAGGAACTTATCGACCGGAATGTAAGGCCGGCGGAGGAAGTAGGAGTTACCCTTTTTGCCAACGCTGATGACAGTGTACTCAAGACCCAATTCCTTCAATTCCGAGATTCTGGCTTCGGCTTTCTTAATGATGGAGTTGTTGAAACCGCCGCAAAGACCTCTGTCGCCGGTGACAACAACTAATGCAACTTTCTTGACTGGTCTTACTTTGGTTAAAGGAACATCTACGTCTTCTGTTTGAAGTTGCTCATTGATGTTGTAAAGGACCTCAACCAAGGCTTCTGAGAAGGGTCTTCCATTAACGACAGCTTCTTGAGCTCTGCGGACTTTGGCAGCAGCGACAAGCTTCATAGCTTCAGTGATCTTCTGGGTGTTCTTCACTGAATCGATACGGTCTCGGAGATCCCGAAGACTACAATGAATTGGCGTAACTGACCATGATCGGGTAGGGTAGGATGAGGTTGGGTTGTGGGAAGGGAGCTTAAAAGGGCTTAGAACTGATCGGAATGAAAGGGAGGAGGCATCAGAGACGGTGGATTTTGAGGACACCAACATAGTGAGATTTGAACTAGACATGGTGTAGCAGCGGAGGAGGAAGGTGAAGATTGGCGGAGAAGAGGAGGTGCAAAGAAGGGGTCGGGTTATTGTTTGAGTGAGGTCTTATCTTCATTCATTGGCGATGGTGGTTCTGGTCCGCAAGAAAGGAGTGGAAATCTGAGAGAGGATGAGGCTTAAGGATAACGATTTCGACAGTTGAGATGGCCAAGGTTTCTACCTCTCATACTAATGGTGGGTCCGTGGTTTCTACCTCTCATAGTGGCCTAATTGTGGATACTAATTTTTGAGTTTTCAACTATTTTTTCAAATTCTTGCGAATATTCTCTACCAAATCTTGCCTGTCTTTTTCATGTTCATCCCGGGATTAAACTTGAAAGAAGGTATGACAAATAGTAAAACTCTCGGAATAAATGTAATAGCTTAGCAGATATCGTCTGCTTTAGTCCGTTACATATCGTTTTCAGCCTCACAGTTTTAAAATGTGTCTCTGCAAGGGAGAGGTTTTCATACCCTTATAAGGAATGCTTCATTTCCCCTCCAACCCGATGTAGGATCTCACAATCCACCTCCTTTGGGGCCCGACGTTCTCGCTGGTACACTGCCCAGTATCTGGCTTTAATATCATTTGTAACAGCCCCTATTACGTATCATCGTCAGCCTCACAGTTATAAAACGCGCGTCTGCTAAAGAAAAGTTCACACACCCTTATAAGAAAATGTTTGATTCCCCTCTCCAATCGATGTGAGATCTCACAATCCACCCTCTTTGAGAGTCCGACGTTCTCGCTGGCACACTGCCCTGTGTCTGGCTCTGATACCATTTGTAACAGCCCAAACCATCGCTAGCAGATATTATCTATTTTAGCCTGTTACCTATTGCTGTCAGCCTCACAGTTTTAAAACGTGTCTGCAAGGGAGAGATTTCTACACCATTATAAAGAATGCTTTGTTACCCTCTCCAACCGATGTGGGATCTCAAAATCCACCTCCTTTGAGGACCCAATGTTCTCGCTTGCACACCGCCTGGTGTCTAGCTCTGATACCATTTATAACAACCCAAGCCACCACTAGCAGATATGGTTCATCTTATCCGGTTACGTATCGTTGTCAACCTATAGTTTTAAAACGCGTCTGCCAAGGAGAAGTTTTCACACCTTTATAAAAAATACTTTGTTCCCTTCTCCAACCAATGAGATCTCACAATCCATCCCCTTTGGGTTCCCGACATCCTCGCTGGCACAACGTCCGGTGTCTGACTCTGATACCATTTATACCATCCCAAGCCACCGTTAGTAGATATTGTTGCTTAAGCCCGTTACGTATCGTCGTCAGCCTCACGGTTTTAGAATACATCTTCTAAGGAGAGCTTTCCACACCGTTAAAAGGAATGCATCGTTCTCCTCTTCAAACGATATGAAATCTCACATTGGTAAGTCAGCATCAGCGGGGAGATCTATGAACAACAGACACCCAGAGGAAGTTGGATCATGTTGGGGAAATTGGATACCATAATCCAAGAAGGCAAAAATTGTGGAATCAGTAGGACCCACAATATAATTTTACTACCTGAAAAGGTAATGAATTTACAAGTAATAATCTGCATTTGATCTATCCAACTACTGGGTGACTACCTATTCCAACAACAAATTATAAGCACAAGATGTACAACAGGGAGAAAAGACCTGCATTTGTTATTTGAAACAGTTCTGGAGCAACAAATATGAAATTTCCTGTTCGTTTGAGAATGTTCTTCGTTGGAATCATTCATCCCAATCGCGCTATGCTTACTGGCTACCCTTCAGCCTTGTTCTTGAAGGCGAGGGCTCACAAGAGACTGGTATGTTTGCCTATCAGGAACCGCTCCTTTAAGCACCATATAATCATGCAACTCAATGACATCCTCGGAGCCACAATTCTTAACAAAATTGGTGATGAGAGTCGTGTATGTTATAAGGTCAGGAACTATCCCCTGTGTACTCATTGCTCTCATCAGTTCCTTGGCTTGATGGATCAATCCCATCTCGCACAGAAAGTTGATCATTATATTGAAAGTAACTATGTTAGCCAAACTCCCCACGTTAATCATTTCTAAAAACAATGCAAAAGCCTTCTCAATCCTCCCATTGACGCAATATCCATGTAGCAATGTGTTATAGGTTACTGTATCGAGGAAACCATTCTTCTGTAATTTGTCTACCAAGAGTTTGGCAGCATCAATTGAGCCTTGCTTGCACAAGCCATCTAAAATAGAATTATAAACCACCAAGTCGGATATTCCACTTGCCTTTACTGTTTTATCATAAATCTGAATTGCAGCTTCCATTTTTCCTTCCTTGCAACATCCATCAATCAGAGTGGCGTAAGTAACTATGTCCGGTTCGATACCACGAACGATCATACTGCTCAGCAATTGGTTGGCACCTGCTGTCTTTTGGCTCTGGAACATATAGTTGATGAGAATGTTATGAGTAAAAGCATCTTTTACAAGGTTCCTTTCGAGAATGAGGTCGTGAATTCTTAGCGCTTTATCGAGATGTCCATTTATACAGAGCCCCTTTGTAAGGATTGAGAAGGTAACCTCATCTGGAAAGATATGCCTATTGATCATGTCAGATATTAAAAAAGAAGCTTCTTCTAATTCCCCTTCCTTGTAAAGCCAGTAGACAATAGAGTTATATACAACAGTGTCTGGGATCAAGCCCATTTTAACCATTTCTTCGCACAACCTAAATGCCACATCCAAACTCCCTTTTCTAGCATATCCATCAATCAAAGTGGCATATGTTGTCACGTTGAAATCTACTCCCAGCTTAATCATTTCACTAAGAACATTTTCTGCAGACTCTAATCTCCCTATCTTGCAGAACCCATTAATCATACAATTATATGTAACTATATTAAGCAATACACTGCCTCCTGAAATTACCCGAGCGTTCCTTGCCAGCTTTAGAGCAAGATCCATGTGGCCCATTTTACTTGCTTTATCAATGATCATATTAAAAGCAACGACATTAGGCCAAATTTCAATCTTCAGCATCAAATAAACTACAGAAATTGCTTCTAGTAATTTACATTCCTTGCAAAAGGCATATATAATCAAATTGAAAGTGTTCACATTTTCAATGTAACCACTGGCAACCATTTCCTTATACATATTCCAAAACTTATCAATCTCATCCAACTTTAAGAGCTGATTTAAGAAGTTGTTCCAAGCATGAATTGTAACCCAGAAACCTTCAACTTTCAACTTTTTGATAACGTTGTATGCACCTTCTGCAGTCCCTAACTGAGTGCAAGTCCTCACCAGTGCATCAAAGACCGCCGGATTTGAACTACAAATTTCATAGCTATCAATCAACCCTCCCAGAACCTCCAATGGCGACTTACCATCTTTAAGCATTAAACTCTTCATAATAGACAGCGCATCATCAAAATTTCTAGAATTGATTAACACGTGAACTAAGGTACAACATGATTCCAATGAGTGTGAAATGTTGTCTCTTGCCTCAACCCAATTGTAGAATTCTAAAGCTAACTGCGGAGAGGTGCGAAACTCGCGAACAACACGACAAACCAACGAATTCGTGAGACTTGGTGATACTTGCTCTAAGAATTTCCATCTTCTATGTTTTAAATTAACACAAATTGCTTTACAAATGATATCCACGGTGCTTGGACTGAAAAACTTCTTACCTGTATGGAAACCTCGGCTAAAAAAACAACTTCTCCTCAGAAAAATGAAGCTAAAAATCATGGAATGCTGAAAACCCAGTTCATGAAATATCCTAATATCTGCAAGTAGAACAAAACGAGTAGAAATTAAATTAAGTAAATCTCTAAATACTCCCATATACATGTTATTAAGAGACTTAAATTGTGTGAAGCAAAATAAAACCCTAATTCCGCTCAAATATAACAAACAGGAAATATAAATCAGAGAATAACCCAACCTAGCTATCAACAACAGTATCATACCTCCCAAGCTTCGCCAAGAGTGCAGAGGATACAGGAACCAATAAACTCGATGCACTATGCTATACAACTTCTTCAAACCTTAACTTCTTCAAACCTTCGCAGCTGGTACTCAGCTCCCAACACTGGAACTCCGGTCTCGTGCAATCGGAACTTGACGTGACTGAAACCCGAAGGCGATAACAAATAGAAGCTGCAAACTGCGAACTGCGAACTGCGAACTGGGAACAGCAACGCAGCTATTCCACCATCGTCAAAATGACGTTGAACTCGCCACTGAAGAATTCGCAGCCATTGATTTTCCCGCGCGACCGAGTTCTGTCTGAAACTTCTGTTACCATCTCGAACGCCGTCGTTCCGTTGCGGCCAAAATAATGGAGGGTCGGAACTATCGTAATTACAATCCGTCTATTTACTTAGTCTATGCCCTACAGGCTTTGAGGCTACCCAACATGCCTTTCGGCCCATTATTTAATAGCCCGTTATTTTACAGCCCATTATTTTACGGCCCATTAAATTACCCAAACTAAAAGAGTTAAGGACCGTACGTTATTTAATGTGCACGTGCTATTTATCTTTCTATAATATTCTAAATATTCAACCTTCATTTTTGCCTTCAATTTCATTATTTTTCATTAAAAAAAAATATTAATGTAATTATAAAATGCATTATCAAATATTTGTAACACTAAACCTATTAAATTGTAACTTATAACTTAATTAAGAATTTAAATGACCAAATATATATAGATATTATATATTTGAAATATAAGAAGTGTATTTATGACGTAATATTAGAGGGAAAGGAGGAGTATGTTGAGTTAGAGTAACGCTACAATCACCGAGCTTTGACTTAGGAGGCACCGTGAACACAACGTCGAATCAAGGATTAATGGTGGGATCCGCCTCGTGCACAGCGTCTGTCGGTGGCCATCCAACGGTCATCAATATTTGCTATTTTGCCTTTTTAAGAATTTTTTTTATTTTTGCATTTAAATCAAACCATTATATAAAAGTAATACTCTTTCTTTCACTATATACATATAATTTCTACCACGTGTCGGTATCCGCAACAATTGATTAAAAGCCGTGAGCTCCGTCGTTTGCGGCGATTCCAGGATAAACCGGTTCCACCGGTTTGTTTTCATCCAACAAAATGCTCCAAAGAAAGTCACGAGATCCAAAAATTTATTAAAACTCACCTAAAAACGGTTTAAGGTATTTTAGAGGTAAAAAACATAATTTTTATTTTTAATTTTTTTTAAGGTATTTTAGAGGTAAAAAACGGTTTTAAGGTATTCAGACGGGACTATTAAAGTGAGAGAAATAGAATTGAGATAGAAGATGTGTATTCTAATTATATGGTTTAAATAAAATACAACCTACCATCTAATATTTACAAATAAAATATAAATTAATCAAATATTAAAAATAAAATAATATATTAAAATATAATATTATATAATTATTATCTAGATATTATATCTAAACAAATATCCATAATATATATTTAAAGGTTTTATTGCGATATTAAAATTTGAGAATAAAATATTTTGAGATTAAAGATAATTGGTTGGGTTGAGATATATTTTTTTTTAATTATATTGAATTTTTTAAAATATTGAAAATCGGGTCCATTTATATATATATATATATATATATATATATA